CCAAAACAATGAGCCTGTGAAATCTTTAAGATGAAAAATACACAAAATACAGGGTTCAGTTTGGTCCCATTTTAGTAATCTAAAATTAAGTATCTAGTCTAAGAGAGCTACAGAGGCATGCTGTCACCAAGCAGAGTTTGGAGAGTGCCTCCCTGCACAAATAGTTTAGGGCCCACATTAAGATAAGATTATTTCCTTCCTAATTCTAAGATAAAATACAATGAATAGTAGTATTAGCTTGCAATTCTGAAATAAAGGGGGGAAAAAATATACATTCTTCATTGTTACTGGTATCTTATTTTAAACAAAACTGAAAAAATAAAGTTCTCTGACTACTAAAAATAAATTTTGACTGCCCCAAAATGGAAGTGAGGTAATACTTCTTTTACACTTAAAAACGAAAGTAAAGCAGGAAGACAGCTAAAGAAAAGATGGTATTTAAAAAACATGCTTAGAAGTCAGTGGAACTGATGAAATAGTTGCATTACTTAGATAGTATTTATTGTTTCAGTGCTAGTTACATAAATAACAATAGAATTATCTTGTAATACCCTATTATTTAGTAATTATTCCAACACATTTATCTGACATGCAGCAATGTCAGCTCAAACTAAATGTTGTTAACTGAAGGTTCTTCTATTTCTAAACATGTGTCTTATTTCTGTTCTTCATTACAAATGGCACTTCTGCCTTAGGAGAAGGAGTGCATCCACAATTAAATAAACCCAACCCCCCCTTCCTAAACCCAAAAGAATCCTTCAGCATCATAAACTTGTTTCACAGTGCCTCTTACATCAACTAATGTTAATGTCTCTTAGAAAAAGAAGCAGACAGACTCCAGATTTTTTCTTCCTCCTCATTATTTTAGATTTCTTTCTCCTTTAATTTATCCCTGACTGCATTCTTGGCATGACCTGATGAAGAAACTACGTAAAAGCACTAATACATTAATTTGCTCTGCAAAGATAAATCACAGAGAGAGGTATACATAGCCCAAGGCTAAAAAAAAACCCGTAAAACCCAAACAACAAAAAAGCAAACACACAAAAACAACAGTCATCCTTAAACCTTGCACCGCCCCACCCCAAATACTTCTACATATTGAATAACAAACTTTGCTGACCTACTGTCATTTGAAAGTATCTTCCCTTTGCTACTATTTATGAAATCCCTCAAAATCGTGAGAATTGAATTATATACACTCTGGTTATCTACTTTAAGAGTGCTCATGAATGGCTGCTATTCCTTTTAAAAAACACTGAGGCAGAAATTCACTTTAAACTAACAAGGATATGCAGCCTTTGCAGCAAGACGTAAAAAGGCAGGTTGAATATTTCAGACTTCTCAGCCTTGCTAACAACCTTTCCCACTAAATATCCTGTGGTCAAACTGCATTGCTAAGATGACATATACTTAGAATCCAAAATCAGAGCTAAACAAAATACAGAGAGTTCTCTGTACTGAAGTTTTATGAAAAATACATACACAACATAATTGCAGTCTAAAGAGTAGAAAGTGGTCCAGATGGAAGAACTGACTTTTCTCAAAACGAAACACAAACCACAGAGCCCTAAAAAGAGCAAAATAAGAAAATCTGTACAGCTCAAAGGCTTGACTACACTGTGCACGAGAACAGTGTGTAACTCATACAACAGAAATCAAAGTATTTTTGCTTTCTTGCAGGGTTCCTGAAAGACCGTCGTCCTCCATCTGGCTGCTGCTACTTGCTTTCTAATGATATCTGCAAGGCTGGGGAAAGTAACCTCACAAAGCCTCCACTGAAACATGAAGAACATGGGGGAACATGGTAGTTAAATTACTGATTAGTGGATAAAGAAACCAGGTGTGTGTAACACTGTAAGCATGCTGTAGGAAAACATTTCCACACTATACTTAAAGCTTAGACATTCAAACAAACCAATTTAGTGTAACAAGCTCCAGGTTACCTGATCCACTGTAACGTCCATGTACACACACCCATACGCAGTTACCCGGGCTACCTTATCAACAAGGAAGGAGGACTTTGTCACAGGCTGTTAACACATACAGCAGCAACATTAACTACTTAGAAATCTAGGACTTACAGATCCTGCCTGATTGTATCTGCTTAATGAAATATCTCATAACACACAAAACACAGGTATCTTATCCCCTTCATCTGCAACTACAGTTTTTCGAGGAAGAAGGTAAGGGGAAAGGAAGGAAGAATGTCACTACGAGTTAATGTCTCCAGTTTGTATTAATTTACTTTTCAAGGCTGAAATGTCTTTAACATCTCAGAGGATCCCTGACAAAAGGGTTCATCTCATGTTCTTACTAACCTCTCATAAAAGCCTCTTAAAAACAAAACAACCAACTATCCTAAGAGAATGCTGCAAGATTCTAACATGTTGATCTTCCGTAACTGCTAAGCCATCCATTATATTCCAGCTTCCTTCTCAGGTTTTTTTTTCCTCTAGGATAGGATAACATGTTGAACTTGCCAAGTGAGCAGGAAAACCTACAAATGCTGAACTGTCCTGTAAAAACAAAAACCAGCCAAAGAAAGAGGCAAGTAATGAGCTTCTCTATTGCCATTTCATGTTTCTGTAAATGCACAGAGCACCTCCTCTCCCTCCCTCCTGCTATGCAAGCACTGTCTAGCAGTCTCTGCTAGTGTGGAAAACCAGGAACAAGCCATGGACTCTTTCAGATCTTCTATCTGACATTTCCACCCAAAGAACTCAAGCGTCTCAAAAAGCCCAACCACCACAAGCAAGGGTAAAAACTAATAATTAAATATGTAAGCACAAATTCCCTTTCGGTGTTTGTCAAACACATGCATAATTTCATGTTCATACGGTATGAACACACACTGCAATTTTGCTATACAGCAGATTGAGGACAGTTTTAGCAGTTCAGACAATACCATAATGTTTATTTTTTCTTAAAAACTTTTATACAGCAATTTTAAAAGGGTCTTGAAAGGAACTGGCAGCTAATAGGAGAGACAGCACTGTTTCATAACAGCTTGCAAAAAAATTCCAGCTATTTTTAGATAGGTGAAAAGAATGTGGCTATTAAAAAAAAAATAAATCTCAGATTATACAAAAAGTTGTTTTCATTTACAACTGACCACATAAATTGTGCAGCTGATGTGTCAAATCCATCTCCCAATGAACAGTACCACATATTTAAATCCTCCGAAGAAATGTATGTGCATATACAACATTGACATTTTAATCTTTTTTACAAGATAAAGCATCATGCTGTTATAAAAATATTACTTTTTAATGAATGGCATTTAAATGGATCTCAGACAAACGCATCATTTTCTAACTATGTGTTATAATCCTTTACAGGGACCTATTTGTCTAGAACTCTCATTAGTTAAACTATGAGCACATTTTGCTCAAAAACAGGCTGATCAGTTTTAGGGTGCTGTGTAACATCCATATTTACAAAATAAATATCTATATTACATACCAAATTTCCCCACAGCAATGCCAAAAAAAGCCTTTCCAAAAATCAAGTTAACACCTGTTTCCTTTACTATTTTCACCCCATCATCCTCTCCATTATCACCACCATTTTATCAGTCTTGTATTTAAAAATTTTAGGCATCGGGGTGGGACAGAGGAAAGCAAATAAACCTTAAGGTTTTCTTCCCTGGTTCTTAATTTGGGATAAATAAATAAATAAAGTATCTCTCAAGGCTCTTCTTATATTTCTCCATTTTGGTAAGGTGACTTAACAACCCATTCCCCCCCACCATTTTCTGTATTTCTCATTGCTGATATTTTGTTACACTACAGCTGGTGAAAAGCAATGCAGTTTGCTTCTACGTATCTCACACAAATATAAATCAAATTAAGCTGCTCGTTTTGTTTTCCAAAACCATGCCACACAGCACTCTTTCATTCTGAAAGATGCCTTTTAGCCTGCTTTCTTAAGACAGTTTTCAGTGCATTATCATGTCCTTCTATGCTGAGCCATTCATTAAAATACACTTCAGATAATTTCAGCTAAACATACAGTTTGAGTGCTTAAATATGGGGGGGTTTGCCAATGTCCAATGTTAACATGGCAAAATAGAATATCCGGATGTTTTTTTGCATACAGCCAAAAAGATTACTGCAAATATTTTATTTTTTTTTGGGGGGGGGTGGGGGGGGTGGAATCTGTTGCTTTGGATGTAAGCAATTCTGCAAATAAAAATCTCTCCTAGAATTCAGTCGCAAGCAAAGCAGAAGTGAGCAGTGCTGTATCACTGAAAATCGACAAAATAATCAGCAGATTATTTTATGTCAGAAAACTTAAATGTGCATTTACTACCCCGGAATATTTCTTCGAAACAAAACAGCTACTTCAAACCGTAATAATCTGACTGGCAGATAAAATAATTGCTTTAAAAACACTTCTGAGTCATTTTGTCCTTACCTGCAGGCATGAACCATTACTGCATGCAGCGACTGCTCCATTTCCTAGCACAGACTTGAACAAGGATCACATCTATCTTACAGAATGTGACTAACTGGAGGATTTGCGATTCCTGAGCTACTTTGCAAAGGACACTCCCTTTCCACATAACAGGACACGAAACGCTTCACCAAGTTCTATCTCCTATGCATCTAAACTGAAAGGAACCCTTTGCAACCGTGGAACGGTTTCCTGCAACACAAGAATGCGAGGTCTTTAAAGGCGAATTTAGAGATGCTGTTTGCACGGCAGTGGGAAGGAGCAGGGTCTGCAGCACCAGCACACACAAGCCAGCAGCCTGCTGTAGTATGAACTGCATGCTACAGCTCGGCAGGCTTCATTAAAAAAATAAAACGATGAAAGAAAGCTCTGCAAAAACGCACAAAGCTTAACCAAAAAGAGAGGTTCGATGGATGCGGTACAGTAACCAGCATGCAGAACGTACAGAACGCCAGCGAACGTGCCGAGGGAAGGAGCAAAGCCCTGCGCGCTGCTCGGCAGTGCTACACCAAGAACCGCTCATGCAGGAGATGCAGCTGTACCTTTCTGAAGAGGACGACTTCTCAGAGTTAACTGACATCAGCAGCTCAATCTTCTGCTTGATTTCTGGAAAAATCAGAAAATATTCACAACCGAGACCGCCTGCCCTCGCTTTCCACAGCCTTACTGCCCAGGCGGCTTCGCTTCCCTACGCCCTTTTGTCCGGGAGGAGGCCGCAGGACCCGGCGCCTGTGCGAGCCCGGCCCA